CGAAAGAGCGCAAGACGGCGGCGGAGCAGGTGCGGCTCACGTGTCTCGTCACCATGGCGGCTTGCCAGCTCCGATTGAGCGAGCACGGGGCCGCAGCAAAGTCGTGCAGCGCGGCGCTTGACATCGCGCCCGGCTCGGCCAAGGTCCCGGCGCCCGCGCGCCACTCTCTTCGACGCGTCCGCGACGCGTCCGTGACACGCCCGCAGGCGCTCTTTCGGCGCGGACAGGCGCGGCTCGCTCTCGCCGAGCTGAGCGGCGCCAAGGAGGACTTGCTGGCCGCGGCGAAGGCGCGCGCCTCGCCCCCCGCGCTTGCCTCCTTCCAGCCCACTCGAGGGGGCCCTCCGCCGAGGCCGCTCTCTCTCTCTCTCTCTCTCTCTCTCTCTCTCTCTCTCTCTCTCTCTCTCTCTCTCTCTCTCTCTCTCTCTCTCTCTCTCTCTCCCCGCGCGCCCGATATCTCTTGACGCCGCCTCTCCGCCGCCGGCAGGCGGACCCGAAGTCGCGCGAGGTGCGGGCCGCCCTCACGCAGCTCAAGGCTGCGCAGGGACGCGCGAGGGAGGAAGAGCGGGGTGCCTTCGGTGGCATCTTCACGTGACGAGGCAGAGCACAAGACACACACGGCACCACCGTAGCAATCGCTTGCGCCGCTATTTCGTGCGTCTTCTTTGGTGGCCGCGGCGCGAGGCGCGTCGACACGTTGGCCCTGTGCGCCCGCTGGGAAGTGGGATTTTATCCACAACATGGACATGGACATGGACATGGACATGGACATGGACATGGACATGGACCACGCGGTCTCGGTCTGGAGAGCTGCGGCCTTAAATGCAAGGAATCGGGAACAAAACAAACACATCTCTCTCTCTGTCTCTCTCAGGATGGGTGAACAGAGGAGCGGGGCGGGGCTGCCCCCCCCCCCCCCCCCCGGGGCCCGGGGGGGGATACACAGACACCGTCCGAGTCCCCGATACCCCCCCCTTAACCAAACGTTGAGGGAAACCGGGAACGCCCTAAAAACACCGTGCCTCTCTGTGTGTAGATAAAAAAGCGGTTACCTCCCGGGATTAAGTATTATGTGTGTGGGGCAGCCAGGAATCCACTCCCTTGAGGTGCCTGCGACGTGGCCACCGACTCGTACGTCCTTCAGCCGCCAACCAAAGCACACAAACAAGGTCTACCATGGCGACATCAAGGCCCTCGATATCAAGACCCCCGAGCGTGGAGGTTGACAAGCGTGACACCGCAATGAGTGACGCGTCCACCGAGCGAACTCCCTCGCTGAGCGATGGCGCCCTTCTATCTCCGCCCGCAACACAGTGCGAGTGCGTCGGCGGCTCCTCTGGCCATGGCGGCACGGCCTCCCTCAATGCGCTGGCATTCTTCTACCGACTTCGCAAGCGTCCCATGCAGCGGCTGCAGGCCTTCCTCAGCGAGGAGGACAATCGGAGCCGCGTGTGGCGAGACCTGGCGCGGTCGGGGCGGCAGCTCAAGGCCAACCGGCACGGCGTGCTCGGCATCGGGGTGGGAGAGTATGCCGAGCGTGAACTCCAGCTTCTCTCGGACCGCATTGTCTATGAGCACACAACAACCGGAACAAAGTCCAAGGAGATTGCCTTCACCGACATTGCGTACGTGCGCGGCGTCGGAGGGTCGCGCACGAGCCGGTGGATGATCAAGGTGAATCACGGCCCCGATTACCACTTCACCGCCGATTCGCCCAAGTCGCGCAATGCTTGGGTGTGGTGCGTGCGCAACAACGTGGAGGCTGCGCAGCGCCGAGCCGCCCTCGAGACGGCGCACGGGTCGGTGGGGTGGCGAGAGGGCGTGCACTCCTCCGGGCACGACGCGTTCACCGGTCAGCTCGACTCGACCAGCCTCGCCTCGCCTGTGAAGTGCCGCTCCGTTACCGCCTTGCCCAAGCTGAGCGAGGGACTCGCCGAGGGTTGCAAATGTGGGAGGTGGGAGTGAGCCTGCCTCGCTCTACGCTCCCTCTCGAGTCGGAGGTCCCCCCGCCGCCGGCGCCGGGGACCCCCCCCGCGCCCCGCGCCGCCCGGCCCCGCCTTCTCGTGCTTCTCCGGACTCCGATCTGACCCCGGTCAAAAGTGTTGAATATATTCAAAATACGGAAAAACTTCGTAACTCCTTGGCGACGAGCCGCGGGCTTTTGCCACTGCGTGCCAGCCTCAGACAGCCGGGCCGCCCGAGAGTTTTACTGACGAGTTTCTCTCGCGGGGGCGGCCCGGCACAACCAACCCTGTGCCTAGCACAAAAAAAAATCTGGCGCAGCGGCCGGCGTGAGCCGCGCCAGCTGGCGACAGATGTCGACAGATTCGACGGATTTGACGGATCCCTTGATGGTCCGATGGGCGACGGGCGACCCCCCCAAACCCCCCCACCGGGTCTCGAACCTGCCTCCACTCGCTCGAATCAGTACCATTTTACTGCTTCAGCATCAACGCCACGCCACGTTCTAGGGACGCAGAGCGCGCACTGAGAGACCACTCACATCGCTGTTGCGGGGCGGCAATGTGACTGGACTCGCCGTGCGCGCCCAGCTAACCCTAGCCACCAGCCTACGCCATACCCAGGTACGGCCGCACACCTGTCTCTCCACCTATCATCCCAACTCCTCGGGCGACCGAGCGGCTGCGCTACTCAGGCAGCCTCCCTGCCTCAGCCGTTACAGGCACCACCCACCGACCAGTCTCGACGACGAGCCGCGGCAGGGCTCGCTGCGCCGCTGCACAGCAGTACGCCACAACACAACATATTATCCAACATAACCTCTCCCTGAGTGCCCTACCCTTGCGGGCTCAGTTGCCGCATTAGGAGCCTTCGCACCGCGAGTGGGCTCAGGTGGGATCCACAGAGAGAGAGGTTCCATACACAGCCGCACTCTACACACCTTACCCCCTCTACTCGGGCGGCATTTGTGGTCTTTGCGGTATGTACGCCGCTTGGACTACGATTCCGCGAGAGAGGGCCGAGGCGTCGCTCGAGAGACGAGACCGCGGGAGGGTGACTGTAGAGTAAGCCGCTGCCGCGCCTGCGGCGACCGGCCTGGGGCGGGCGGCGCAAGCGCTGCGCTCTTCAGCATGCGTTCGCCTCTTCCCACTCACGGATCTGCCGGCGCAGCGTGTGGTTGGGGGCGAGGAAGCTTTGCACGAGCGCCTCGCCCGTCATCGGGCTCGTCGACTTGGTCGCGAGCCAGCGCTCGATCGCCGACCGCTCGTACGAATGCCCGTCCGCCGCCATCACCGGGTCACTCATGAGCTCGGTCGTGATCGGGCAGATGAAGTCGGCCGGCGGCTCCTCCTCCCTCGGAGCCGGCGCCTCTGCGGCCGACGACGGCCCTTGCGCCTCCGCCGCCCGCCTCCCCTCCTCCAGCCTCGCGCTCTCCTCGAGCGCCGCCGCCAGCTCCGCCTCCTCCGCCGCCGCCACCGCCTCCTCTGCTGCCTCCTCTGCCGGCGCCTCGGCCTCTTGCGACGGCCCAGCGCCGCCCCCGCCGCCCTTCTTCTTGCCCTTCTTCTTGCCCTTCTTCTTCTCCTTGGCGCACTTCTCCGACTCCTCCTCCGCCAGCAGCGCCGCCGCAACCTCCTCGGCCGCCCTCTCGGCCTCCACCCTCTCGGCTGCCGCCCTCTCGGCCACCGCCCTCGCCACCTTCCCCTCAATCTCCGCTCTCTTCGCCTCCCTCGCCGCCGCCTCAAAGGCGCGCTCGCACTCGGTGTGGCCCTTCTCCTTGGCCAGCTGCAGCGCCGTATGCCCGCCCGAGGTGCGCGCCGCTGTGTCAGCGCCCGCCCGCAGCAGGCAGAGCACGACGGCGGGGTGGCCATGGTAGCACGCAACGTGCAGGGGCGTGGCGCCGTCGCCCTTGGCTTGGTTGACCGCCGCGCTGGCGCCGAGGAGCAGCCGGGCGCACTCGAGCTGGCCCTTCTGGCACGCGATGAACAGCGGCGTGGCGCCGTTGACGTTGGCTTGGTTGACCGCCGCGTTGGCGCCGAGAAGCAGCCGGGCGCACTCGAGCTGGCCCTTCTGGCACGCGATGAACAGCGGCGTGACGCCGTTGACGTTGGCTTGGTTGGCCGCCGCGCGGGCAGCGAGAAGCAGCCGGGTGCACTCGAGCTGTCCCTCCTCGCACGCGATGTACAGCGGCGTGGCGCCGTTGACGTTGGCTTGGTTGGCCGCCGCGCGGGCAGCGAGAAGCAGCCGGGCGCACTCGAGCTGGCCCTTCTGGCACGCGATGGACAGCGGCGTGGTGCCGTCGTCCTTGGCTTGTTCAACCGCCGCGCCAGCAGCGACAAGCAGCCGCGCGCACTCGAGGTGGCCCTTCTCGCACGCGATGTACAGCGGCGTGAAGCCGTCGTCCCTGGCTTGGTTGACCGCCGCGCCAGCAGCGAGAAGCAGCCGGACGCACTCGAGCTGGCCCTTCTGGCACGCCATGAACAGCGGCGTGGCGCCGTCGTTGTAGGCTTGGTTGACCGCCGCGCTGGCCTTGAGGAGCAGCTGGGCGCACTCGAGGTGACCCTCCTGGCACGCGACGAACAGCGGCGTGAAGCCGCCAGCGTCTGCTTGGTTCACCGCAGCGCCGGCGGCGATCATCAGACGGACGCAGTCGATCTGTCCAGCCAGGCTCGCAGCGCTCAGTGGCGTTGTGCCGTCATCCTTGGCCTGGTCGACCGCCGCGCTGGCCTGGAGGAGCAGCTGGGCGCACTCGAGGTGGCCGTTCTGGCACGCCATGAACAGCGGCGTGACGCCGTCGACGTTGGCTTGGTTGATCGCCGCGCCGGCGCCGAGGAGCAGCTGAACGCAATCAAGGCGGCCCTGGTGGCACGCGATGTGCAGCGGCGTGGCGCCGTTCTCCCTGGCTTGGTTGACTGCCGCGTCGGCGCCGAGGAGCAGCTGAACGATCTCGAGGCGGCCCTCTTGGCACGCGATGGCCAGCGCGGTGGAGCCAATGCCCGTCGTCGCCCCCACGCTCGCGCCGCTCTCGAGCAGCAGCCGCACGGCGTCGGCCTGCCCGCGCCAAGCGGCGTAGGTCAGCAGCGTGTACTGGTTCTCGCCCTCGATGCGCGCGTCGAGCAGGGCGGTGAGCGCCGGGCCGCGCGTCCACCCGGCGAGGAGGGCGCGCAGCGAGCCCAGGTCGCCCCGGCGCAGGTCGGCGAGCAAGGTCGGGCTGATGGCGCCGCTCATTGTGTGGCGATTGATTCCGCCGCCGCCAGCCGCCACCGCCACCGCTGGGAGCTATCGTCCCGTGGTTCTCGGCTGCCCGGCCGCCAAGGTCAGCCCGTGCGCCCACCCAGACGCGCTTGCGTTGAGCCCTCGCACAGCGCCACGGCCGTGAACGCCACTTCTATCCTGCGGGATATCAGTCGCCGATCCCGGGGTGAGAGCCACGATCGTCTCGGCACCTGCGGTTGGACCGCTTGGAGACGGAGCTTCGCTTACCGCTCTCAGCTCGGGCAGGGGAGAGGTCAAAGCCCCAGAGGCGGCCAGTACGTCAGAGCCATCGCGTCTACCATCGATCGCCTCGGCCCTCGCGGTGGCCGGTACTGAGAGAAATGGCCTGAGTCGCAGGCACAGAGATACTATGCATGCCGTTAACGCCATGAGTACTGACTGCCTGGGAGGAACTTTCTTTGCGTATGTGCGCACTTCTGAGTTGTACGTCTCTCTGATTGATTGTACGTCTCTCTCATGTTTGTATGTCTCTCTGAGTTGGACCTTCCTACCTTACCTTTCTCTCTCTCTCTCTCTCTCTCTCTCTCTCTCTCTCTCTCTCTCTCTCTCTCTCTCTCTCCCTCTCCCTCTCCCTCTCCCTCTCCCTCTCCCTCTCCCTCTCCCGCTCCCCCCCCCCCCTCTCTCTCCCTCTCCCTCTCTCTCCCTCTCCCTCTCCCTCTCCCTTGGAGCACTTGGAGTGCAGTCATCAGCCTCACACCCAGGGCCGGGGAGCTAAGAAGCGCACCCAGCGGGCCGGATGATCGGGATCGGGTTACGGGCTAGAGACCCCTAGACACGGTCTCCGAGGGTTGGACCCGCGTACCACGAGGTTTCCCCTTAACTGCAGGACGCCCCCTCTACTCGGAGCTCCCTCTCCCTCTCTTTCTCTCCCCTTCCTCCCTCCCTCCCTCCCTCCCTCCCTCCCTCCCTCCCTCCCTCCCTCCCTCCCTCCCTCCCTCCCTCTCCCTCCCTCTCTCTACCCCCTCTACTCGGGCGGCATCGTGGTGAGACCCTGGGCAGTCAGAGAGGCTGACAGTAAGTGGCGGGCTGAGAACTCGGGCCTCTCCCGACCCGCCATCGCTGCCTAAGGGAGGATCCTATCGGCCACTAGACCATGACAGATCAGAGGCGCACATGCCTTGTCCCAGCTCCCCCACTCCTCACACTGGGTTTGCAGTGCGCGGCCTCACCACCTCCCTACCAGGGCAAACCCCCTCTCTCCCCCTAGGTGCTGCACTTGACGTCCATAGAAGGCGCGCGGCAGAGGCGGGAGGGAGGCGGGGAGAATCTAGCTCGCTCTGGCAGGGAGGCAAGGGTGTGATAGAGTGTTTGGGTGAGAACAGGCGGAGTGTGTATGCCTGTACGCGATTGGGAGAGCACTCGTGACGAGGCATGGTTAGGCGAGTGGCAGTCGCTACGGCTAAAGCCGTAGTGCGGACTTGCTAAGTCGTGTGAATCACCGTGTGTGCTCTCTCCCGCTTTTGCTTGCTAAACCTAAAGACTGGAACAATTTTTTTATATTCAAAATACGAAACTCACAAAATGCAGGAAGGGAGAGACTCTCTCAGCCGGCGCACGGCACTCACTGCTGCATCGCCGCAGGCTCGGCGGCCTTGGCCGCCGCCTGCGTGAGCTGCAGCTCGGCGCGCAGCTGCTTGGTGAAGTTCTCGTCCTCCTCGTCGTCCTCCCAGCCATCCTGCGGCGGAGTGGGGTGGGGTGGGGACTAGGCGGGGTAGTGGGCGCGCACCACGAGTACGGCAAGGCGCGCGTGGGTGGGGGGACACCTGCCACATCGTCGGGTCCTCCACGTCCTGGTCCCCCTCGGCCCACTCCTGCTGCTCAAACTCCTCAAACTCGTCGTCCTCCTGCGGATCGCGGTGCGCCGCGGTCCGGGGTGAGAGCGCGCCGAATCGGAGGAGAGCAGTAGAGCCACTGGTGGTCATGGGAGGGCGACGGCCAGTCCCGCGCGACCCAATGCCCCGCCGCCGCGGGCTCGGATGCAGACGCGGAGGCGGCGTGAATCGGCGGCGCAGAGGAGACGGGGTGCGGGGAGGCGCGCGCGCCTCCAGCAGGTCGCGGTGCTGCGTCGTCGTGCTGCCCTTCTCAGCGCTCGCTGCCATGCCGGACGCCAGACGTCGTATAAAAAAAAATTCCAAAACGAATTAGCGGAGCTGGGAATAGGACCGCCGCAAGCGGCGTGGCGTGGAGCGGTTGTGCATCCCTCCGGGGGCCCCTCTGCGCCGGGGAGGCGTTGTTTAAGGTATGTTGTTGGAGGCTAGGACGCAAGCGTCCGTTTTTCAAACTCGGCCTAGAGCTTGCTCGGATTGAGAGAGAGACTTTTAGCAATACCAAACAAATCTGTTTGCTCGGATTGTGAGCGCGCTGGTAGTAGTCGTAGGCGTCACGATTGAGAGCGAGGCAGCTCTCAATCCTCCAGATAAAAAGAACAGTGGCCAGGGGCGGGCGCGCACCGGCCGGCTCCGGGAGCGGCCGTCACGTCGAAGAGGGGACCTGGTGCTGCTCGAATGACGACGCATGCCGCTCTGCTGCGCCGCCGATAGCCCCTCTTCCGAGCCGGCGCGTGGCGGCGAGCCGCGGCCAGTATCGCTGGTGCGGTGGAGGCGGCAGCTTGCATCGGCCGGCAGCGGGTGCGGCCATCACGTCGATGAGGGGGGGTTGTCGGCTACTCGTGTGGCTCGAGGCCTACGCTGCGCCGCCCAAGCCCTACTGCCGATCCAGCGCCTGGCGTTTGGGGCGAGCCGCGGTCGTCGTCGCTGATGGTATATGGCGGCGGCGGCGGCGGCTCGCCCTTCCCTCCGGCCGCAATTCCGATCCCGCCGCGCTCGCGGGAGGTGGCGCGCCCACCGCAACACGGCCGTGGCTGCGCATACACCTTACGCCCTTTCTCCTCAACGCCCTATCCGTGCTTGCTGTGCCCCTGCGTGGTGTGTTTCAAGTTCTTACAACCCAAGGTGATAGAGGGCAAAAAGATCGATTGCGCTCTTGCCGATCCGCACCTACCTAGGCTCTTGGTGGCGCGCCCCCCCCAGCTCTTCACAACGAACCTGGTCCCTGGCTCACCTCGCGCCTCTGGATACATGATCGGTCACGTTGCGCCTTCGGTCGTCACACGGACTCAACCGCCGCGCTGCGGGCTCGTCGGCGCTGTGGGGTGGGCCGTCGCGGCCGCTCAGCTCGCGGCCTTTCTCGTGCTGCGGCCGGCATTCCCACACAACGAGGGGCGCCGCTTGACTCTGCCCGCCGCTGCTTCGCGCGCGACGAAGCGCATCTACATCATCCGGCACGGAGAGAAGGCTGAACCCGCCGATCGCTCGGACTACGACTACGATCATGGGTGCCTCTCCGAAAAGGGCTGGGCGCGCGCATACAACCTGAAGAGTATCTTTGGCAAAGGCGGCTGGCTGCACACGCCAGACGCTCTCTTCTCAGCGAATTACCACGATCCCCTCGAGTGCCGCGACGCCAACGGCTGGTACCGGACGCAGCAGACCCTCGCCGCGCTCGCGCAGGCCGCTCCCGGCGGGCTCGGCCTAACGGTCGGCAACTCGAGCGGGTGGATGCCGCAGCTGTGCGGAGCGGAGGTGCAGCCGGATGCCTCCTTCGCGCGCGCCGTCCCCGGCCATCTCGTCTCTCGCCAGGGTTTGTGCGCCCCGTACGGACTCTGCGGAGGCGACTCATGGGCAGGGGGGAGGCGGTGCGACGACCGGTTCGCGGGCGAGTGCTGCAACCGCGCCGCAGCGGAGAGTCTCCTCGCAAAGCTCTCCGAGTCGGGCGTGAGCACGGTGCTCGTGGCGTGGGAGTCGGTGAACACCGTCTGGCTCACGCGCGCGCTCGGCGTGCCGGAGGACCAGGCCCGCCCCGCCCGAGGAGACCGAGCGGAGTATCGCCGAGAGTTCGCCCTGTGCGGAGGATAGTCCGAGTGGCAGCCGAATCACAGCCGAGAGGAAGCCCCTTTCCGTGACAAGGGGGACGGTCTCGCGGTTGGGGGCTCTAGGTCCGCGACTGGGACTTTACGGAGGCCGAGTACGACCGGATCTACGCGCTGCACTTCGACGAGAAGCTGCGGCTACTGCTCTTCGAGGACGGGCTGCGCCAGGGCTTCGACGAGCTCGGCTCCTCGCCGCAGCCCGACTCGCTGCGGTGGCAAGGCCCGCAGAACGGCTGCGGGCGGGTGCACGAGTCGTACCCAGCGGCCGAGTCTTGGAGAGAGGCGATGCCGGTGAGCGAGGACGCGCCAGCAGATGGCGCGGCCGGTGTACGCTTCGGCGGAACTGGTGCCGACTAGCAGCTGCTCGGCCTGCAAGCGTGAGTGGGCAGTTCGGGGAGTGTCGTGAAATACCTGAGCGCGCTGCTGTGTGCGTAAAATAGTGCGCGTGCCGAGTCGAAGTAGGAACATCACGAGCACGGCGACTAGACTACAGTCTACACTAGATTACCGTTAGCGTTACTCACCGCTTGTACAGCCGAGCCCCTTCGGCTTCGCCTTGACGGAGGTTGACGCTTGAGCCCCGCTGTGTGTGGACCGAGCACCGACCGGAGAGGTGCGTTTGTCGCACAACACTCAAACACTGGCCCGCGTGCCGCGAAAAAGGTTAGGTTCTTGGAGCACTTGGACAAAGAACCCTGCACAAACATCGCAAGGGCGGGGACCTGTTCCTTTTTACCCATCTCACAGTAGAGGTGTCCGTTTTATTTATTTATTTATTTGGAAAAAGAGAAAAATCTAACGACCTCCTCGAGCGCGGGGATTCCGGGGGGCACGTCACAGTGGAGCCCCAGCACGTACAAATTCTAGTGCCAGCGCCAGACCGCGTGGGACAGGCGGACTTGGAGCACTTGGAGTGCATTCGGTAACCTCACATCCAGGGCCGGTGAGCTGAGAAGCGCATCCAGCGGGCCGGATGATCGGGATCGGGCTACGGGCTAGAGAGCCCTGACCCCTAGCTCAGGGGGGGTGCGCATTCGCAGGGCGAGGGCCTTAAAGTAAACACGGGTCTCCGAGGGTTAGTTCTGCGCTTTGGGTGTCCCCTAGCTAGCGGCGGAACGCCCCCTCTACTCGGAGCTAGTAAACACCAGACACTAGACACGAGCATGACGTAGCATGTTTTCTTTCTTTTTCTACTCGGAGCCAGTGATACGAGAATACGCACATGTACATGTACATGTTACAAGAATACACACTGCCCCCACGGAGTACCTGCACTACTCGACGATAATACAAGAAGAATACGCAGCTTGGAAGTTGCAGACGCCTATAAAGAAAAAACAGCAAGCTGAATTTCGGCGGCGAAAAAGCAAAGGACGGGCGCTTTTGATCGGCAAAGCAAAGTTGGAGTAACGGCGACCGCGTCGCCACAATGCCAGTCGCCTGTCGAGCAGCCTTGGCGGCGCGCATGCGCCGCAGGGTTGACCAACAGCCGCGCGCCTCGAGCCTCTCGCTCCACTCGCGGCACGACGCGCCCCGCGCGCCGGTCAGCGCAGCAGGAGTATTGCGACATGCTGCACAACGCCAAGGACATCACTGAGAAGCTGGCGCCAGTCGCCCACCAGCATGTCTCAGCACCAGGTGAGGGAGCATGCTGCGCACGCTGATGCAGCAGGGGGTAACCACCAATCAGGCCCTCACGCCACTGCACGGCCGCCCTCGAGCACCAGCAGCCGCGCTGCGCCATGCTCAAGCTCAGGAGGCCACCCTGCTTCTCGCATCTTTGTGCAGCGCAGTGAGCGAGCAGCGCCGCACCAGGCGGACCCATGGCGTGCTCAGCCAGCCGCGAGGCGGAGGCAGGCCGAGTGAGCGCGAGCCGCGCGGGAGGCCATGCCCCGCGCACCGGCGAGCGAGTGGCACGAAAGAGTGCAAGTCGCGCATGCTTTTGCGTAACGGACAGCCCTAGGACACTAATGATTTCTTCGCGGCTTCCTACTCGGTACGGCCGCGGCCGGCTCGGCTTTGCCGTTCTTCTGATGGTGGCATTGTCGCTGATCACCACCATTTCTCGGCCAGCGAGTCGGGCAATGCTGGTACCCCAGAGCCTCTCACTCTGCAATATTTTTGGCGTGAGATGCGCCCTGCCGCCGTCGCCAGTGGCCGTGCCGAGAACGGTGTACGGCAACGACGACCGGCGAGACTGGTACGAGCTGGATTACACCTCTGCCGGCGACGCAATGGCGGGACGTCTGTTGGCTAACTCGATCATGGTGCACATCACTCGAGCGGACCTCGGTGCTCCTGACTCGCACGGTATTTACCGCATTCTCGATGACTACGCAGATTCCCTTCGGCTCGGCCCTGTTCGGAACATGTGCGACGGCCAGAAATTCTTGCGGCAGCCACGGCTTGGCTACTGCTCTGCCACGCTGGTCAGTCCGACCGGGGTCATCACGGCTGGGCACTGCGTGCCAGACCAGAAAACGTGCGACAGCGCGGCGTACGTCTTCAATTACTATGTTACCGGCCATGACGCTCACGGCGACCCCACATTCCCTTTGATCACCTCTGACGACGTATATTTTTGCAAGTCTGTGAGCACCATGTATGCGACCGGCGGCACCGACATTGCGCACATCACCCTGGACCGGCCTGTCCTCGGCCGTGTCCCGGCCACCTACCGCAAGACGTTGGTCCCTACTACGCCGGGCCAAAAGCTGATGATGATTGGCTTCCCAGACGGCATGCCCGCCAAGGTGGAGGCCGGTGGCACGGTCACCGACGCTGGGAGGTCGAACGGCTTCGAGTTCTTTGTAGCCTCGACTGACTCCTTCGGCGGCAACTCCGGCAGTGGCATCTTCGATGCGGACGGAATGATGATTGGCGTCCTTGTGCGAGGAATAAAAGGCTACGTCCAAAGCGGCGGGTGCACCGTCGTCTACGCGCTCCCAGGCCCAAGGGGGCAGGAGGAGATCACATACGTCGATCGTGCCGTCAGCCTGGTATCGGCGTCTTCCGGCCACCTTCCGGCCACCGAGTGCACCGACTCGTGCGTTCACTCCAACGACGGCGAGTGTGACGACGGAGGGCACGGCGCCCTCTACAGGTGCCGCCCATCCCGCCCGGCCCTCCGCCCTCCCCCTCGCCTCCTCCCAGCCGGCCCCACAGACACCCAACCGCCTACCTCCTTGCCCGCAGCGCCTGCGACCACGGCAGCGACTGTGCCGACTGCGGCCACCGCTTCCCGTCGGCTCCGCCGTCGGCCTCGCCGCCTCCCGCAGCGACCACGTCGGCTCCGCCCTCCGAGTGCACCGACTCTTGCTTCCACGCTCGCGACGGTACAACCCGAGCCTCGGCCCTTGCAACCCGCAAAAGGCTCGCGAATCTCACCATCTCCTTGCCTCTCTCAGGCGAGTGCGACGACGGCGGCAACGGCGCCCTCTACAGCGCCTGTGACCACGGCACCGACTGTATGGATTGCGGCGAGCGCCCCCACGCCTCGCCTCCACCTTTGACCCCAGCCTCGCCCTCGGCGGCGTCGGGGCTTCCGGCCTCCGAGTGCACCGACTCGTGCGTTCACTCCAACGACGGCGAGTGTGAAGACGGAGGGCACGGCGCCCTCTACAGGTGCCGCCCATCCCGCCCGGCCCTCCGCCCTCCCCCTCGCCTCCTCCCAGCCGGCCCCACAGACACCCAACCGCCTACCTCCTTGCCCGCAGCGCCTGCGACCACGGCAGCGACTGTGTCGACTGCGGCCACCGCTTCCCGTCTGCTCCACTGCCGCATCCGCCGCAGCCAACCCCCTCGCCCTCGCTTTCGCCTCTGCCCTGCCCCGGAGTGGTATGCGATGGGATGGGCGACGGTCCGTGCCACTGTGACCCGTGTCTGCTATGTCCGACGCCACCAGTGACGCCGCCGCCACTATCCGCACCATCGACTCCGATCGCTCAGCAACTTACCTGCGACTTTGAGAGAGGCACTTGCGGCTGGAAGGACACCGCGCCTTGGACAACGAGGACAAGCAGCTACCCGTGGACGAGGACGAGTGGCGGCACGCCATCGATTTTCACCGGCCCGAGCGGCGACCACACCACCGGATCGGGGTACTACCTCTACACCGAGGCCTCTGGGATCCACAGCAAGGTGCACCGGCTCGAGAGCCCGCACTTCTCGCTCCAGCAGGACGCCACCCTCTCCTTCTACTACCACATGCACGACGATACTGGCTTGAATATGGGCACCCTCTCCGTCGAGGCCTTTGAGCGCGCGAACGGCTGGTTGACGCTCTGGAGCCAGAGCGGACACCAGGCTGACAGTTGGCTCCACAAGACGGTCGTCCTTCCCGCCTCGACGATACAGGTGCGATTTAGTGGCTTGACGGGACCGGGCTTCAGCTCAGACATGGCGCTGGACGATGTGTCCTTCGGGCAGTTTGAGCCGCGGCCGGTGACCGTGTCGATCACGCAGTCAAACTGGTTCCAGATCGGCATCGCATCGCGGAACTTCGCGCGGGACGGGGACACGAGCACCAGCTGTCCCGAGGACAGCTGCACCACGGAGTCTACCACGGCGGAGTTCGCCATGTTTTACAACCACCGCGACAACCGGCACAACGGGCGCCTTGTGGAGGGCAACGGGATCCAGGGGCAGAACCGCGTGAACTGGGGCGACCTTCCCGCAAACGGCGCGCGAGATATCACGGTGACTGCAGACTGCACCGCGAAGACCGTGACGATCAGCTCCGACGGGCAGTCTTTCACGGGGTCGTACCCTAGCAGCTGGTCGTCGGTATACGTTGCAGTCGGTGCCCAGGGCGGCCCATTCTCTGCGACCCTCCCCTCGGGCAACACCTGGCTGGGTGGAAGCAGCACGCAGACGCTCAGCGGAGGCTTCCGGGGGAACCGGGGCGAGCAGGACCTCTGCGCTTCGTCGGGGTCGGCCTCCGAGCAAAATTCATATTCTACGACGACTGGGTTTTGCCGTGGCGGGAGCAGCTGGCCAGATGGCAATGAGTATAATTGCTTTGAGGACGTTGCCAGGACACGCATCCAGATGACGGACGCAGAATGTAGGCAAGAGTGTGACGCCAACGTCGAATGCGCAGCGTATGACCGGTCTTGGTATGACCGTCAGGGTATCCTGATTGAAGATATCCCGACGGGTGCGGCAGATTGTTGCCTCTTCAAAGCAGGCAGTACCGGCAATGGGGACGAGAGCTTCGTTTGCATGTTGAAGCCTACATCGCTCTCGCCCCCGCCACCGCCCTGGCGCCCCGGAACCTCTACGCCGTCGCCAGCATCGCCGGCGAGCCATCGCCGCCGCCGCCGCCGGAGCCCTCACCGCCGAACCAGGCGACATGCCAAGACACGCCAGGTTGGGGTAATGGATTCGACATGACTTGCAGCAACAGGCCCGCCAATGAGTGCAACGTTGGAGCAGGGTTGACTTGCTATCATTATAGTCTGAGCTATTGTGCGAATGGTGTCGTGGTGCCTGGCCGAGAATTCTCGCAAGGAGCTGGATTCAACTTTCCGGAAAGCAACTGTTGCGCGTGTGGCAAGGCCTTCCGCATTGTGGCCAGGTCTCCGGCAGCTGCGTGAACTGCAATTCGGGGGGTGGTCGGATGAGCACCCCTGCATGCGCGTTTGGTCCGCGGCCCGGTGTCCAGCATTGGGCCCATCCTTGTGTGAGCGCTGAACACTGACTGTGCGTGAGGGTGGGTGGGTACTCAGGCGAGGATTTGTCATTTTGTTATTGGGTATTATTGTTGTAGGTTCGTTGTTAGCAGATCATTATTGGCACGTACATACTCTGCATAGCGACGGGAGATCGCAGAAGGCATAAAAGACGGGCACGAAACAAACGGACGCAACGCTGAGGAGTGAAAAAAACAACGAAGGCGCTCTCAAAAAATAAAACGGGCAAAAGAAGAAGAAATCGGACTTTTCTCGAGCTCCGGGCGTAGTACGGCTGGTTCTTGACCTACCGCCTTGTATCCACGGCAGAACGCGAGCCGGCAAGCATGTCCGGCGAGCAACGAGGCGAGAGGGGCGGGCCGAGCGCACTGCTGAGCGGGCTGCCCGTGCGCGACGCAAACGCCTTTGCCCAGCGGAAACTGGATGCGGCGAGCTTCCCGGCGTGTGCTCTGCTCCTACCTGAGCTTACCACCCGCGGCTCTCTTGGCCCACACCCATCCCAAACAAACGCAGGTCACGGAGGCGCCAACCTACCTCGCCACGCACGACCGCACGAGCCCCCCTCCCGACCAAGGCGTGTACCGGCGTCAAAAGGGTTCCCACCCACGCCTGCAGACCCACGCCCATCCCTGCCCATCGAAAAGCTCGCCCCGCCGCAGTTGTCGGCACGGAGACGACAAACATCATCCTGCGGCACTTCCGGCAGCTCGCCGAGGTGCGTGCGCGCGTGCGCGGGCCGCGCCGCTCCCGTTCACCTAACGCCCGGCTCTCGCCCTCGCAGAAGCAACGCGAGCGGCAAAAGCGGGCGCCCCCCGCTGCAGAGGCGGCGCGGAAAACCGCCAAGCTCGCCCGGCCGACAAGTCAATGATTCTTTGACTCTTTTTTCGGGCACTTTTTGAGAGGTGGAAGGCCGCTTCGGAAGGGCACCGTCGGCCCACCGTGAACCTTCCTTTTTTAGGTAGGTGCACCGGCTGTGCCGCTGTGCAGACACACACACTCTCTCTTGCCACGGCTGTATTATTGATGAAAAAACAACAAGCTGTCACCGAACATTCCCACCGGGCGGCGGGTGGGAGCACGAAGTAAGGGCAAAGACTTCCACCCTCGTAAAGCGTTGTTGGGTTTCCCTCCCCCGTCCAACCCCAAGCTGTCTCGACTCGCAGCGCCAGCGCGCAGCAGCCCGACGGGGAGCACGGACGGCGCATTTCTCTGTGTTTCGGCATCTCCCCTTGCCCCCACCCCTTCCCCCGGCGCTTGCAGGCCTGGCTGGCTTCGCAGCCTGTGCTGCCCGGCTTGTCGCGCCCCGCATTCTAGCAGCGCGATGGCGGTCCTCCCCGCAAATCCTTCCAGGGGCACCATAGAAGCGGTGCTCGCCCTCTCCACGGTCATGCATGCCGCCGCCCAGGCTGCTCAGCCCAAGCCGTCATCGTCCGAGGCTGACGCGCGCACGAGTGGCTCCTCCGCGGCCGCGGCGTTCGCTCGGCTGCGAGGTGGCGAGCTGGGCGGTTCACTCGCGCCGCACACGCCTGTGCCGGCCGCGGCGGCGGCGGCGGCGGCCCCGGTCGAGGTCGCGGGCGCCGCGCCGCGCCACCTTCTTGTGAGACATGACAAGGCGCGGCGGATCGTGACGATTGAAGTGAGCGAGACTGCAGTGATGGCCTTCTACATGTCGGGCTGCGCCTTCATCATCGGGGGCGTCGCGCTTGGTTGCGCGCTCTGGCAGCGCACGCGGGGGGGCGCCCCAAAGCAGGAGCCGTGCGGCTCCTGTCTTCTGACGTGGAGCCGCGAGGGTCTGCCCCCCCCCCCCCCATTCCACCCGGCACGAGGCGCATGCCTCCCCCCCTTAGCCATCGCCAGCTCCACCCACAACGGCGGGGCCGCCCCATGCAACAGGCGGGAGGCGTCTCCGTCTGCGTCGCGATGGAGTACTGCGCAGGCGGGGACCTGATCGACCCGTAGTATAGTATAGCACAGCATAGTACAGTACAGGAGTACTGCGCAGGCGGGGACCTGATCGACCCGTAGTATAGTATAGCACAGCATAGTACAGTACAGGAGTACTGCGCAGGCGGGGACCTGATCGACCGCATGGCGTGTCGCCGCGGCGAGCTGCCGCTGCTCGAGGCTCAGCTGGTCTCCTTCCTGTCCACGCTGTGCCGCACTCTGTACTACGCCGAGGGCGCGACCCGCACTTCTTTTGACACAGGCTTCTTGTTTCCAGGTGCCGCACCCTGTACTACGTGCACTCCTGCGGCGTGCTGCACCGCGACCTCAAGTCGACAAACATCTTCGTGACGCGCGGCGACGCCACTGTCAAGCTCGGCGACTTCGGCCTCGCGCGCGCCGGCGCCTCGCCGGCTGAGCGGCACACACACACACACACACACAGAGGCGCGCTTCAAAACGGGGGCTGCGAGAGCGTAGGCCTCTCGCGCCGGCGGCTGAGCGGCTCGCCGCGCCGCCACTCGCGCTGCGGCACCGACTTGTACATGTCGCCCGAGGTCGAGGCGCGCAAGCCATACGGCGCCGCGTCCGACGTGTACGGCCTTGGCTGCGTGCTGCTCGAGATGCTGCTGCAGTCGCAGCTGCGCGAGCGGCGGCTCGCCGAGACGCGGCGCGAGTCGATTGCGGCCGCGCTCGGGACGGCGCGGCGGCGCCACTCGTGGGACACGCTCGACGAGCTCTCCGCACTCGCATGGCGGATGCTCGACGAGTCTCCAAAGACGCGCATCGACTTGCCGCGCGCGGCGGCCGTCGCCGACAAGTGCCTCGCCCTAGATGCGAAGCTGTAGCAAGACGCGTGCGAGGTAGCGCTTCCGAGGACACGGAGTCCACGGCAGTCGGCGGTCTCGCCCGTTGTGATTCGCAACCCGTCGCGTTCGCGCGAGGCGCAGGGGATGCAGCGCAAGATTGCGCCCGATGCAGCGCCAGAGGCTGCGCCCACCCTCACTTTCCCTGTCTGCGTACGGCAGGTGCCTCGCCCTCCTCCGCCCCGCCGAGCGCGCAACGGTGGGAGGGGCGAGCGCGTCTGCGGCGGCGACTTTGCCTGCGCGCGCCGCTTCCGACTCGAGGCTGGCTGTCTGCCCGCGCGGCGGCGGCGCGCGGCTCGACGTGGCGAGGGGCGGGAGGGCGGTCTGCATTGCCGAGGCGGCGGCCGACGGATTGGGTCCGCCCACGCCAACTGACAGCGAGCCCACTCTCGACGGCGGGGCGACCACTTCGACGACGTCCGCCGACAGCGCCGCGCGCGCAAAGAAGCCGAAGCCCGCGCGCCCGCCGCGCCGCCGCCGTTTGCGTTATGCAGAGTGAGCGCGGGGCGCGGAGACCCGTTGGCACGTTGGAAGGAGGCGGCATGGAGGTTGGAGCGCGGTTCGCGCTCGCGTCGAGATAACGAGGGACACATCGAGCGGGAGCATGCGATATTTTCTACGAGGGGCTTTGGCCAAAAATCAAGAGGGGGGAGCGAGGGCGAGAGGCCCGTTCGTCGGAGGCTACTGTAGAAACAAGAAAAATAAAGGTGTCGGTGCCAGAAGAGTGCCAAACCTCGCGCACACAATTTCAGGCTCAGCCATGTCTCTGTCGCTCTCCCTCGCTACGGTTGGCCTCGTCTCGCCCGTCGTCGTTCCCACCGGACCCGCCCGTGCGCACGTTGTCGCCCAGCAGAAGTCCAGCGCCATCGTGCTGGCCGACAAGGAGGCCGAGGCCCGCATAATGGCAGTCGTCGACTCCGAGCCGGCCAAAACCCGCGGGGCGGCCATGTGCTCCCAGATGGCGGCTGCCAACATGCGCCGCATTAGGATGCCGGAGGAGCAGGGCGGCATGAACCCGTTCGGCCCGCCGGGCACCCAGCCGTCCGGCCTGGGCTGGGACACCTCCACCGGCGCGCTGGCTGCCGCCCCACGCCTTTGCCCTCCCGTCCCATCCATGGTTTGAGAAGCCACAGAGCCCAGCTCACCAGCCACGCCACTTCGCAGAGCCCAAGAACCGCGAGGACATGGAGGCGCTCGCCAAGCGGCTCAACCCGACCGTCGGCTTCTGGGACCCGCTCGGTATCGTGTCGGAGGGCACTGCGCCCGAGACGATCGGCTGGTTCCGGCACGCGGAGATCAAGCACGGCCGCGTGGCGATGGCAGGCTTCGTCGGCTACTGCATCCACGCGAATGGCATCACCTTCCCGTGGAACATCCAGGCGCCCCCCTCCACGCCCCCTCCTCTCCTCTCCTCCTCTCTCACCACCGCGGCCGCACCTCGTCGCCAGGCGCCCCTCCCGTGGACTCCGATCACCTCGGACCTGCCGACGATCGCCTTCTCCGACATCACCGCGGTGCAGACGACTTGCGCGTGCCCCCCCCCCCCCCCCCGGGGCCTACCTCTTGTTCGCGCGCCTCCTCCCAGGCCGGCGCGCCGGGCGACATGTGGGACGCCCTGCCGACGGCCGCCAAGCTGCAGATCCTCCTCGTGGTTGGCTTCCTCGAGATGCACGGAGAGAACTCGCTCGCGCTCGAGGCGGACGGCCAGAAGCACTATGTGCGCGGCGGCAAGCCCGGCTACTACCCCTCGTTCAAGGGCCGCTACCCGCACCCGGTGCGACGACCTCCCTCCCCTCCCCCGCCCTGCTCCGCCCTCGCCCCCGCCCTGCTCCGCAATCGCCCCCGCCGCCCTCGCCTTCTCACCCCACCACCGCCCCTCCCCCCGCCTTGCTTCTGCCGGCGCGCAGGTCCCCCTCGACCTCTGGGACCCCTTCGGCTTCACCAGGACGATGTCGGCCGAGCGCAAGGAGAAGGCTCGCCATCATCTCATCTCGCCGTCGCCTCCGCCACTCAGCCCACCACCTCCTCCTCCAAGCCCTCCCCCGCCAAGCCTAGGCGCTCCTCGCCGAGGTCAACAACGGCCGCCTCGCGATGATCGGCCTCTTCGGACTCCTCTCCGCCTCGAAGGGCCTCATCGTCCCGGGGCTCGACGGCCTCGGCCTCACGCAGTGCGCACATGCCGACCCGCCGCCGCCGCCCACGCATCCCACCTGCCCTACCCGCGGCCACTCTCCCGCCCGCACGCGCGAGGGCGGCGCACAACCATGGCACAAATCGGCGAGGCACAGCACCCCGCCGCCGCCTCGCACAGGTACGGCGGCGAGTACATGGCCCCCTTCTCCGACTTCGACGCGGCGCTGCCCTACGTCGCGGAGATGCCAAAGACGCTCGCGGAGCTCCTCAAGTGAGTTGGCGCAGCGTGTCGACACGCCGCGCGGCGACAGGTCTGAGAGAGGGAAGGTGGGTGGGCCGCAGCCGGCGCCGGCGCTCGTGGGTGGTGTGGTGACGGTTGGGCGTCGTCAAATGTGTCGCGGCGTTGTCGGTGGTGCGCGCACGCGCACGCGTGGCTTCGCCCCTCTGCGCCAGTTGCGCGGCAGTGCGGTGCGCAGCAGCACCCTTTTTGGCCTTTGGGTTTGGTTTCACGCGGATCCGCACAGCGTCTGGAGCTATAGACGCCGCGGCGGAGACGGCAGAGCGCGGTGAGCGAGCAACTAAGCTTCTAAGACGTAGCTAAAAGATAGTTTACACAAGACTGGTCGGCTTGGAGTGTCCTCACAGTGGTCGCTCACCGACCACCCTCCACCGCGGCTCGGAAGCCATGCTGCCGGTGCACAAGAGGCGGCCAGTCGCACGAGTAGCGGGCTGCGCAGCAATGCGCACGTTGCCGGTGCAGGAGTGGTGGCATATCGGAGTGCGCTCCAAGCGCACCCTCGCTCCACAGCGGCGGCTCCTCCGGCGGCTCCTCCGGCGGCAGCTCGCCGAACACAGCAGCGGCCCGGAAGTTAGGCACGCCCTCGGCCTCACCGTCGGACCGCAGCGTCCTGATCCACCGCTGGTGGGATTGAAACCGCGCCAAGGAGACCTCCTCGCTGCTGTCAGACCTGCCCATGCCCATCGTCGTTGTTCTTGCCACGCAAAGCTCCCTTGGGATCGGAGCCGCGCTGTGAAGGAGGAGCTCGGGGCCACCGAATTTCTTTGATTGCTGCCTGGCTTCTTGGGTTTTGTCATGCGCTGGTGGCGGTTTGCCCTTCCTTGCTTGCGCGGGCCCAGCAGTACGCAGAGCAACAGAGAGTCATCTGCTCACCATTCGAGTTGGTTGGGTTGTTTTGTTGTTGTTGGGTGATTGATGGTTGGCTTTTACGTATGTATGTTTCCTCTCGCTCGCACGCACCCTGCCTGGTTTCCTTTCCGTGTTTCTGCAGTGTTTCTCTACTGGTACAGCCCCCTCTCGTTCCTCTCTAGTTTCCGGGGTAGCCATCAATTTTTCCGGGCTCTGAGCCGAGTCTGGGTGGTGGGTGAGTGAGAGGCTGTTTGGGGGGGGGGGGGGGGGGGCAAATCAGCAAAATCGGAGAGATTTTTCAATCAATACCAAACAACTCTAACACTCACTCACACATCATTTGGGGCCTGGAGCCCTGGCACTTAAAGGGCCCTGTTCACGCCTAGGTTCACGCGCGCGCGAGACGTGCAGACTCCAGACAGGGTTGCCAGGTGAGAGCGAATGGCGCGGTTCACGCCTCGCACAACAGAGAGAGAGATGCGCCCTGGCATGGTGGGACATAAAAGAGAGCGAGTGCTTGGCGAGTAGGCCGTGCGATCAACGCTGCCGCGCGCGACTTTGCGCGCGAGGCGGCGCAGCTTGAGAACGGCGGTGGGCGAGAAGCCGCCGCCGATCTCGTGGAGCAGCAGGTTGAAGTTGTTGCGCTTGACAAAGATCGCGTCGTGGTAGAAACCGCGATGCGCCTTGACGTAGCCGTGGCCGTTCTTGTGGGAGAAGGGTTGGCCGGGGGCTGTGCCCGCGCGCCTTGCAGCCCATGTTCAGGCGACGGGCCTTCTCCGCTCGGTGCTGCCGAAGGCGTAGGAGTGGCCAACGGAGGCGGGCGTGCCGCCGCTCGAGGCGTTGCCAACGCCCGTCGAGGAGGTCTTGAGGAGGGGCGTCCAGAGCTTGACTTCATTCACCTCATCACATCCCCCCGGCCCTGCATGGGGTTCTGCGAGGTCGGTCTTGTACCCCTCATTGTACTGCCGGGTGAGCTCTGGTTTCTCCTTGTCACCGTGCACGACCGGCGCGTTGGCCGGGGCGCGCATTGCGTCCGCCCAGGCGGCGAGGACGCCGTCGTGGGGCCGCCGGTGGTGGGCCTTGTTGTAAAGGTAGTCGCCGAAGAAAAATCGACAGGCTGCCCCGCTCGAGCGCGACCCGAAGGGTGGGAAGCGCCGCGGAGAGCCAAAGGCCGAGCTTCCGCTGGAGCTCCTCCTGGAGGGTGTCGGAGGAGAGGGCGGTGGCGTACGTACCGTCGACACGGACATCGAGGGCCTTGCCGGCGAAAGGCGTTGAGGCGGAGATGAGGCGCGTGGCCTCGCGGTTGTTGACGGCGCTGTCTCCGAGGGACGGGTTGTTCTTGACGTGCACATCCCGCGCCTTGACGAGCTCCTGGTGCGCGTACCAGTCCTTGTGATTCTTGATGGCAGCGAGCGCCCGCGGCCGCGGGTACGTGGATTTGCAAGTGCCATTGAGAATCGCGTCGGTAGCTGGAAGGGACTCGGGCTCGGGGAGCGGGATGCTCTTGGGGTAAAACTCAGTCAGGTAGCCGCCGCGGACGGTGTAGTACTTGTTTTTGTCGCGGGCGGCGCGCTTCTCGCACACCTCCTTCCAGTCCGAGAGGGCGGACTCATAGGTGGCGATAGTTGCGGCGATGGCGGGGTACTTGGACGCACCCCCTTCGTCTAGGGCGAAGTCGGGGTTGTGGGCGACGAGGGTGCGCCAGTTCTTGAGGAGCGACATCGAGGAGCGACATGGAGAAGTCGCTGTCGGCTCGCGAGTTTGTTCACTTTTGGGATCCTTCACGACTTCCTCCACTCAAAAAGCACGATTCTCAAGTTGGGCCCTCTACTGTAGGGGCGAGGACAGCGAATTGGAAGGGGCCACACTGAAGCGACGCACAGGCCACACTGAAGCGACGCACAGGCACAAACACACAAGACACTCAGCAAGCTGGGCTCTACCACGCGAGTTCCGCAAAAAAGAAAAAGAATTTCACGGCGCCTCCACCACGCCTTCCTCACTGCCCCGCCACGTGCGATGCTCTCTTCCCTCCTCGCTTGCTCACTCGCTTTCCTCAAAATGTCGGACATCACCATCGGCATCAAGCACTACGGCTCTCGGCGAGAGCAGCTCGACCGGCTCCTCCGCTCCATCCGGCGGCGGTACGCGACGGCCGAGGTCATCGTGGCCGACGACGGCTGCAAGGCGGACCGGACAGTCGCGCGCACGCACAACGTGACGCTCGTCTGCACCGAGGCGGGCAGCGGCCTGGGCCTCGGCCGGAACGCCATCGTGCGACGCGCTCGTACAGAGTTTATGCTCCTGCTCGACGACGACATCGTATTCTCCGAGGCCACCGACCTCGCCGCGCTGCACGACGCGCTGGTGCGCGACCCAGGCGCGGCGCTCGCGGGCGGCTGCTACGACGACCTGGAAGGCGGCGACGCGGACTGCTTCAACCTCGCCTTCAGCGTGACCGGCGGCGGCACGTCAGTGGCGGCGCGCTTCGCCACGCTGCAGGCGCAGGGCGGCGGGTGCGGCGTGGTGGGCGCCACCCACAACTTTTTCCTCGCTCGGCGCTCCGCCCTCGTGCAGCACGGGTGGGACGCGCGCCAAAAGCTGATGGAACACCAGGCCTTCTTCTACGCGCTCTGGCTGCACGGCCTGCGCGTGCTCGCCTGCCCGGCGGTCCGCGTGCAGCATCCACGCAAGCGTGGTCCGCGCGCAAGGCATGCAGGCGTTCGCCAGACAGCGCAGAGGCTAGGCGACCGGGGAAGGACTAGATTAAAGAGCAACACTCCCGAACTCGGCCTTCTGCACGCCGGGCACGCCGTCCCCTTCGACCCGGGTGTCACCCTACGCCACGGCACCACCCCGCGCGGCAGCACCTCCTCCTCCGCGCGTCAGAGAGAGAGCGACTATCTGCAGTACCTCTGCCGCAACTTCCCGCGCATCGACTCCTGGGCGACGCCGTGGTGGACCGTCGACTGCGGTACCCGACCCCCGCGCCCCCCTGCCCCCATCATGCGTGTCGCGTGAGCGTCGGGGGTGCGCACACACACGAGCGACGCGCACGCGCGCCCACACACACACCGCACTGTCTCGACGCACTGCCGTGTGTGCTGGCGTGCGCGACAGGTGCGCACACCTTCAAGTCCGTCAACGACGAGAGCCCGATGCCGCTAGCTTGGGACGCCTCGGACGACACCTCGATCGTCGCCCACACGCTGCGCGACGACCTCGGCCTCTTTGTCCTCGTGCTCAGTGCGCAGGGCCGCGCTGCCGCTCGCGACACACTCCGCCAGAGCTGGATCCGCATCTTTGGCCGCGGGAGCGGCGCGGTGCACGGGATGCGCTGGGACTATGGCTTCTTCCTCGGAGGAGCGGGAGCGGCGAGCCCGGCACCGCTGATGCGCGGCGACATCGTGCGGCTGGCCTCGCCCGACGGGTACGCTCAGCTGGGCGACAAGGTGGTGGCCGCTCTCGCGTGGAGCGTGGCCCATGTGCGCCCGTCCCACCTCGCCCGGCTGTGCGCTCTGAGTCACCTTCCCCACCCTGCCGCGCCGTATCACCTTGCGTCGCCGCGTCACAGGTCAAGAGCCGCTTCATCCTCAAGTGCGACGAGGACTCCTTCGTCCACGTCGCTAAGATCAACGAGTACCTTGCCGGGCTCGGCGCGGCGGCGGCGGCGGCGCTCTACGCGGGACAGGTGGTGGTCGCGCCGGTAAGGCGCACCGGCAAGTGGGGCGTCCCGGCGGAGGTTTTCCCGGCGGCCCAGTACCCGCCGTACGCCAAGGGCGGAGGCTACCTCCTCTCGATCGACGTGGCGCGCCAGATCGTACCTGAGATCCAAACTGGCCGCTCGCCGCTGCTGAGCAACGTCGAGGACGCGATGGTCGGCGTCGCCGCCGACAGGCTCGCCATGAGCGCGACGGGGCTCAATCATCACTTCCGTGAGCTCTCGCTGGATATTGCGGCCGTGAGGGCGGCGTCGGCTCTGCATTGCTGCTCGTCAGACACGATGCTGTACCACAAGCCAGCGCAGCTCGCCGTCTGCGATGCGTGCTGGGCGGCGGGCGGGCTGGAGCCCGACACGCAGGCCGCCGGCGCAGTTCGCCTCCTTCTCAGGCCGAGTCGTGGACGAGCCACGTCCGCCGTGTGGGCGTGGCGAGGCCGCCGCCCAGGGGCTCGGCTAGGCTTCGAGCAACCGAGAAACGATTCTGTGGGCCCAGTTCATAGGGGCAAGATGGTGTCGTAACGCACGTGTGGGTGTCTGCATCAAACGGCCCTTTTAAAAACAGCACAAACAGCACAAACCTACACCCGTGCCCCCACCACAAGCAGCACGGCGCATGCGACGCGAGGCTCGGGAGGACCATGCACTTGCACATGAGACGCACGTGCAACATGACCTGCTTGGGCACGCACTCCCAGCGGCCTGGCTGGACCTCGTCGAGGCGTCCTTGGAGCAGGTCTCCACGCCGATGGCATGCACACACGCGCGCCAAGAGTGAGCGGTCATGAGACAAGAACTTCGAGGAATGAGACGAGCCCGAGACCAAAACTGAGACCACTCCTGAGCCAGCGGTCGTCTCACACTCAGTTTTTGCAGCCAAAAGGTCTCAACACCGTCTCACTGTAACTCGTGAGCCTACTCTGTGAATACGTATTCCACGTATTCCAAATGACCTCCAAAAGGGCCGTATTCCGTATCAAATTGCAGTTTTAGGCCGTATTCCACAATCCGGAATACGTATTCCAAACGAGGCCCCAAAATGGACGTATTCCGTGTAAAATTTTCTTCGCTCCGCGAATTCACAGAGTAGGCTCGTGAGATGATTGAGAGACTTGTCCTGGGTGAGACCAAAATGAGACGAATCCCCAAAGTTTGTGAGCCGTGTGTGAGACGATGAAAGAGAGTTTGTTTTGTTTGCGATGAAAGTGAGACAGGTACGGAAACACGTGAGACTGAGGCGAATCAACGTGACAGCCCTTTTGAAAACAGCACAACTGTGTGTTTGCGTGAACGGCGTGAAGCTGACTTCTGACTGTCGTTGCTGTCTATCCCTTTCTCGACTGTCTGAGCTTGTGCGTCTTGGCCGGGGTTGTGTTTTTGTGTGAACGGCGTGAAGGTGAATAGGCCAGCGCGCGCCGAGGAGCCTTCCCGGCCGACTGCTGACTCGCTACGAAGCCCACTGCACTCCACGCTTGCCATAATAATGCCAGCTACCACGGCGCCAAACGTCCTGCCTGCTTCCCGCGCCTGCTTGGTCACCAGGGTCCAGTCTGAGCGACGACCGGTGTGGCCTCGAATCTTACTGCTCTTCGTCGTCGCGTTGTTCCTCCTCGCGTGTGTCTTGCCGGTTAGTTAGCGCGGCCCGCTCTACCACCCCAGCCCTCTCCTGCCGCCCGCCTTCCACCTGCCGTCACGTGGCCGAGCAGGCGGCGTACGAGCACTTTAAAAACGGCGCGAGCTCAAAGTGCTTCGGCGTGCTCCCGGCAAAGACGCGAGCAAAAGTGCCAGTGGCCGCGTCCTTCTTCCACGTGCTCACCTTCATGGTCGTCGGCCGCAAGGAGGCGGTCAATGTGCAGGCGACGTGCGACGTCCTCTCCGGCGTCGCCAACGTCTCCTTCTTCTACGCGCACTACGACGACGCGCAGCCGTGGTATGCGAAGCAGGCGTGGTATCGGCGCTGCGCTCGCGACCACGTGGCCTACCGCGAGAAGGTCAAGTCGCGCTTCGTCGTGAACGCGATCGCGTCGCGTGGAAGCGCGTGGGCCGAGACCTACTCGCACGTGTGGATAATCGACGAGGACGTGCGGTTGCCGCCGCTGCGCTACGTGCGCCACTTTCTGCGCGAGTCCCATGGCCACGGCGCGCTCATCTCACAGCCGGCCATCTACGGCTCTGTGTGGAGTCTGCTGCGGCCTCATCCCCGCTGCGCGACGCGCGCTACCGACCTCGTGGAGCTCATGCTGCCACTTTTGCAGACGCGCGTAGCGCTCGACGTCTTCACGCGGCTCTACCGGTCGGAGGCGACCACCGATTGGGGCCTTGATATTACGTGGTGCAAGTACGCGGCAAGTCGCTTCATCGAAAGCCCCGCGTGCATCGTCGTCAATGCCGGCCGTTTCGTCCACCCAACAGGCAATACCACAGCGAACTACTCTCGCCGCTCCGGGCAGGAGGACTTTTTGTGCATGCGTGCCATGCACGCCGCGCTCGTGTCCGAGCCCAAGAACCTCGCGTGCCTGCGCGAGGACCGCTACAACTCCCTCGACCCTGTGCTCACGGACGCAACGCTTGCTCCGGCACCGGCTGCCCATCACGCACCAGCGGCCATCGAGGCCTCCCGGCACAGGCCGCTGAAGATGTACGTGTACCGGCTCAAGCACTTTGGCTCCAAGGGCCACTGCATCTCACTTCACGGCGGCGGCGCCCATGACTTCGAATGGGAGCTGCACGTCGAGAGCAACCTCCGAGCGACGTTCGCCGTCACCGCTGACCCCTCGCAGGCGGACTTCTTCCTGCTGCCAGCGTGCCTCAATCGCCTCTGGGCCTCTGGCTGGCGCTGGTCGGAGGCGCGGCAGAAGCTGCGCGCGTGCGTTGAGTGCACGTCGCGCTTCGAGCGCAAGCTATTGCACGTGATGCGCGCCGTCGGGCCGTGGTACGACGAGCACCCCGAAAAGCACCTCGTCACGCGACATCGTTGCCCATACATTGGCGAGCAGAGCTGGGCCATCAATGCGGACGAGGAGGTGTACACCGAGCTGTGGCGCCACCCGCGGCTCCGCTACATCTGCCTGGAGACCGACCCCGAGCCGCCGCCGGGAGCCGTGCGCGACTGGCACAGAGAGGTGCATGTTCCCTACTTTGTCGACGCGGCGACAATGCAGTCGCCGCTGCCTCACGCCAAGCGCGCGCACGACTTTGGCTTCGCCGGCTCGCTGTGTTGCGGTCGCGGCTGGCTAACGGAGCTGCTCCGGCTGGACGAGCGCGTCGAGCTACGCGATCACACGGGCAGCGCGGCGAACGCCACACGGCTCCTGCGTACGGCCTCCTTCGCGGTCGAGCCGCGGGGCGACATGCCCGAGCGCCGCATCATCTACGAGGCGCTGCACGCCGGCACGCCGCTGGTCTTCACGTCGCCCGTCGCGCCGCCACTGCGCCTACTGAGCTGGGACGGCGTCGCGATCGAGGCAGGCGCGTCTCTGTGGCACGGCGCCGAGCCGCTTCCGACGCTCCGCTCGCACGACGTCCAGCGAGCGCTCGCGCACTACGACAAGTGGATGGCGAGCTTCGAGGCCGCGCGCGAGACCTTCATCTGGGGCACGCCCGCCTTCCGCCGCCGGCTGGAGCTCGTTGTGGCCGATGTCATCACGCAGTGATGAGGAGGTGGGAGAGCGTTAGTTCCGTGTCGTATGCCGAAGTGTCAGAGTGTGTTGTTGTTGTGTCATGGTGTGTGAGTGTGTGAGAGTGTGGCTGTGTGTCGCCTTTAAAAATATAAACAAAACGCCTTCATCATGTGCGTATGTCCCCACCTACCTGCAGGGGCCCCGCACAAACAGCACATTTCTTAATGTAACATTTGATGGCCCCCAACCATCACCCAGATTTTCTTTTTGCTACTCTAGGGCAACACTCACCTCTTCACTACGGCTGGCCTCGGCCGGTTCTGCGCACGTGCGTGGGAGCCGCACGCTGCGCTGGTCGCGCATGAATAGGACCGGTCGCGAAGACTGGCAGCGCGCGATGACGGGCGGCGACCCTCAGGCCGGAGGCGGCGGCGGAGGCGGTGGTGGCGGCGGCGGCGCGCCTGACGGCGACGGCTGGCCGTACCCCGGTGGCGGTGGCATGCCTACCGGCGGGGGCGGCTGCTGCGGCGGCATGCCGTAGGGTGGGTAGTAGCCGGGGGGCGCCGCCATGCCGGGGTGCGCGCCGCCGTAGTACCCGTAGTACGCCGCCGCCGTGTCTGCCGCCGGGTGCGGCGGCGCTCCCGGGGGCATGCCCGGCGGCGGGGGAGGGGCGCCGTACGGCGGCATCGGCGGCATCGGCGGCATTCCTCCGGGGGCCAACCCGCCCGGCGCTGCCATCCCGCCCGGCGGCGGAGGCGGCTGCAGCTTTGGCTGCGCGGGCTGGCCGTCGGCGCCCATGCCCGACATCTCAGACATGAACTTGGCGTACTCCTCGTCGTCGGCGGGCGGCGGCGGCGCGGCGGTGCCGCCGATGTTTCCCGCGCCGACGAAGGAGGCGCCGAGCGGCACGGGCGGGCGGAAAGCGCCGCCGAGCTTGGACGCGTGCGAGAGGGTCGCCTGCGACGCCTTCTCTCCCGCGAGCACCTTGGCCATGTCGAGGAGCGGCTTGTCCTCCCGCACCGTGCCGTTGAGCACGTGCAACTCGTGGTTCGCCTCGTTCCTCATCCGCTCCCCCTCCTCGGACGTAAAGTCGAGCAGCGTCTCGATGAGGCGCCGCGCCTGCTCGAGCCGCTCTTTGGTCGGCCCGCGGATCAGCACGTGCGGCGGGTCGTTGTCCGACTCGTCGCGCACCTGGTCGCCCAGCCGGCGGGTGCCCTTGCCGCGCACGGCGATGGTGCAGTTGGTCTCCTCCTGCATCCGCTTCTGCGTGTTGCCGCGAGGGCCGATGATCAGCCCGACCAGCTTGAGCGCACCACCGGGCATGTGGTCTGGCAAGATGAGCTTGACCGACATGCGGTCTCCCGGCCCAAAGTCAGCGCGGGGGTACTTTTGGATGCACCAGCGGCGGACGTAGTCGAGGCGCGCCTCGAGCAGCCGCTCGCGCTCCGCCCCCCGCGCCTCGGGCAGCGTGAGAAGCTCCTTGAGCAGCTCAATCCGCTTGACCATCTTCTCCTCGCTGAGCGGCGGCGGCGGCGCGGCAGCTTCGCCCGAGGCGGGCTGCGCCTTGCCGGCGTTCCAGCGATTGCGCCGCCGCTTCGCGCGCGCGTACTCCTTCTTTAGCTGCTCCACCTCCTCGGATGGCTCCCACGGCCGCTTTGCAGCCTCCTCTGCCGCCGCTGCGCCGTTGGCCGCCGCGGGAGCCGCCGCGCCGTCGGCTGCCACCCCGGGCGCGCTGTCTGCCGCCGCCCCGGGCGCCGTCGCCCCGGGCGCCGCGGCCTCGGGCGCCACGGCCGCCGCCGCCTCAGGCGGGGTTGCCATTTGCGCAGCGGCGTGGCGTGCGTGCAGCGGCCGTGACGTTTCTTCTTTTGAGAACATTTTTCTTCCACAATAGACCGCTCCCCCAGCAGATACAAATCGCACGGATGTAGGCCTTCAATGGGAGAGGGGCCTGAGGACGTTTCAGCCTCGGCCAGCCCGTCGTGTCCACCTGCTGCTGCAGCTTGGAGATGATCCGGGCACGCACCGGGTGCGAGCCGGCCAAGCCTGCGAAGAATGTCAGTGCCCGCTCGGAGCCAAAAGTAGGCTGCGCGGCCGTGGCGTTTACCTCGCCCTTGATCAAGGGTATCGGAATGTGCCCGACACCGCCCGAGGAGGCCACGAGCAGGTTGGGCCAGCGATCCGCAGCAAAGTCACCAGGGCGGCTCTGATCGTACGAGAGGCCTATGCCGTCGTCGTTCTGCCTCAGTTTCCCTCCCGCTAAATCATCACGGCCTCGTAACACCCTCCGCGCGCGGTCAAAGGCTTCCCAGGGCCGGTCCATGACATGAACCGATAGACACAAGCAAAAACCGCACCTCTAAGCTTCTCGGGCACCCCGAGGCCCATACGGCGTCCCGGCGGGCCCCGGCGGAGGTCCGGCGCGGCGCTCCAAATCCGCACTTCGCGAGCTTCTACGGGCGTTCACGCGGCCTCTCCGCCTCGTGAGGCACGCCCCACACCCACCACGAGTCCTGGGGCCGTGGGCGGACCTCTGGCCGCGGCGTCCGGAGCTTTGGTCGTCGAACATCGGCCGCCAACTAGGCCGTCGAGCGAACGTGTCCGGAGAGGCTCTCGGATGGGTCCGGCAGCGGTCCCATGGACCCAGAAGCTCGCCCCGGCGGTGCACTCACGGCTCGGCCCCCGCCCCTGGTCACCCAGACGTGCCCATGGACAGCCGTAGGGGCTCGGATGACGACGTTGGCGCCCATGACGACGCCCTCCCCGACGACGTCACATCTGGCAGACTACTCGGGCGCGGCGGCGCGGATGATCACATGGTTTGGGACTCTGAGCGATGGCAGAGGCCTTTTACTGCAAACGAGGACGCCCCGCGAGGCCCCGTTGGCCGGGAGTGGTGAGTGGGACCATAAACAAGCACTATATCCCCTACCGCGACCAGCCCACACACAGCCCAAACCGCTGCCAAACCGGCCCTGGTCACGCAGGCGGGGAGGCTGCCGGGGCGCCCAAACAGTCCCTTACGAACGCCACACGGGCCACCACGGCCCGTCCGGCGGCCCGAGTGCCGCCCCACACCCGCCCGACGCCCTCGGCCAGCCAGCGCCCACTCTGAGAGGCTTCACCGCCGCCAGCGCGCCGAGCGCGCCGCCCTCTCCTCGCGCCACACGGGCCCCTGGCCGCACGCCCGAGACCTCATGAAATCAAATATGCGGTTACGCAATGTTTAAAAAAAACCAACGATTTTTCAACTATCGAAAGCCCGACCGACTAAACTCTTTTAAACGCTGCTTCTTTTAAACGCGTTCCTGCGGGACCGCCGCGCGAGCACGGCAGAGAGCAACAGACCCTGCGGCTGCGGAGCACGACGCACAGCGGCGGTGGGGGTGGGGCGCGGGGAGGGGGGGGGGGGGGGTCTGCGTCTCTCGGCGCGCTTCGGCCGCTTGGGACAAGAGCGTCGGAGCGGGCGAGAGACACACGGGAGACAGTCGGGGGGATAGATGATGCAGACCGGACATCGATGGCCATTCGGATTGGTAAGGTAAGGTATTAAGGTAAACTTCTCCACACACACGAGGTGGTGGGGCAAGGGGCTAGGGGGGGCAAAACCCTCGCGTCTCCACGTGTCTAACGACTTGGGCCAGGTTAGCGGTTAGGGGGCCCACAGCGCCCCAAAATCCACCACTGTGGGATTTCGCGCAATCGCTCGACTCTGAAAAGCTCGCCTATCCCTGCGGTGAGCGCTGTGGTCGCCGCAGACTGGCTCCGACTTGACGGGGGCATGGAGACGTGATGCCTCCATGCCCCCGTCGAGTCAAAATCGACATGCGAGTCGATCTTTGGCCCGCCAGAGGGATAGGCGGCGTTTTGGGCGACAAACAGCGCTGCGACCGCGAAGTGGCGGTGGACATGCTCCCATGTTGCCGACGCGGCGCCGGAGTGGCCGGCGCTGCTCACCATGACCACGACGGCTACTCTGATACTCCGGGCCGACCCGTCCTACCCGACGGTGGCACTCTTCCACGTCTCGCTCACGCTGAGAAAAATTCTGAAACGGCGTGCAGCAGAGTCGCCGACGAGTCGGTCCGCGTGCTTCCTCGTGTCCCGCACCGTTCTCACACATCCATAAACTCACTTTGGCCTCACTGAAGCGATGCCTCAATCCTGAATCCTCAGATTTTAGATTAGGGACGCTGCGCACCCTCTAACGTGATGCCTCCATGCCGCCGTCAAGTCGAAATCGACATGCGAGTCGATCTTTGGCCCGCCAGAGGTACATGCGGCGTTTTGGGCGACAAACAGCGCTGCGACCGCGAAGTGGCGGTGGACATGCTCCCACGTTGCCGACGCAGCGCCGGAGTGGCCGGCGCTGCTCGCCGCGACCACGACGGCTACTCTGATACTCCGGGCCGACCCGTCCTACCCGACGGTGGCACTCTTCCACGTCTCGCTCACGCTGAGAAAAATTCTGAAACGGCGTGCAGCAGAGTCACCGACGAGACGGTCCGCGTGCCTCCTCGTGTCCCGTACCGTTCTCACCCATCCATAAACTCACTTTGGCCTCACTGAAGCAAGCCCTCAATCCTGAATCCTCAGATTTTAGATTAGGACGCTGTGGGCCCTCTAGCCAGGTACCAATTTTGTCGAATTTATTTCAAAATCTGCAGGCGCGGAGCGCCTGCGAAAATTTTGAAGAAATTTGCAGTCGGGCCTGATTTTCATCAAGATCTTTCAAATTTGCGGTGTAGCGGCCGGGCCCCCGGGAGGCAGGGGCGGGCGGGGGCGCGGTCGGGAGGGGGCCGCCAAATCGACCAAATCGAAGTGGGTGCCGCGATTTTGGGCTGCTACTTTCAATGATATGGATTTTTTTCCTACTAAGCAAAATTCGAGCAATTGAGGAAACTCAAGCGGGCAGGCTGGAAGCACTGAGGGACGGCCGATGTTCGCCCAGTGGCAACCCTGATCTTAGAATCGCTCCAATGTACAATGGGAGTGAATCCGAGCGAGTGAAACACTAGTCCAAAAGACTCGCGATTAAAAGAAATCGCATGGAAATCCACGCAAAGTGTGCGCTTCGCAAGCACCCCGCAGTTCTACGGCTGCTCTAGTTGCTGCCGCTCGGCGGGGCGCCGCCGCACGAGGCGCGCCACCGCCATGTGGCGGCGGAGGAGCTGCCACTGCCGCCGGAGCGGCCCCGCGTCGCACGGCACCGCTCCCATGCTGCACAGCACGAGGCGCAAGCTCACCGTGCGGTGCTCCGGAGCCGGGAAGAGCGGCACCGCCACCGTGTCGAAGAGCTTGTACGGCGGCTGCAGCAGCACCTGCGGCGTCTGCTGGAAAAAGTTGCGGAACGGAACGCCGCCGAAGCTAGGGTCCTGCTCGTGGACCATGGCGATGGCGATGCGCCGATCCATCGCCGCTTGCACGAGGCGCGCGACAACGCCGCCGTAGTCCAGAAAGGTCTTATCGTTCAGGTAGAGCAGGAACACTACGTGCCCGGAGAGCGGGGCCGCGTTGGCTCCCTCGAGCGCCTCCTCCGCATCGCGGATCACGACCGCAGTAACCGCCTCGGCGCTGGCGGTAGAGCCGCGCCCCTCCCCCGCCGCCGTCTTGACCAGCTCCGACAAATCGAGGACGCCGACGTTGCCGCGGCACACGAGGATGGTGACGGGGCCGCTGAAGGCAACGGGGCCCGCCTGGCCGGGTACCATCACGCCGTCGGCGAGCTCGGCCGGGCGGCTCGCGTAGAAAGGAGAGTGCAGCAGCATCCGCAGCGCGACAGCCTTGAGCGACTCGAGCTGAAAGGCGTTCACCCGCACCCACACGATCGGCGCCGCCTCCTCAAACACGCGCGCGAGCATCTCGCCTGGCCCGCTGTAGTTAGGGTAGGCAGCAGGGGCGGCCTCGACGCAGTTTTCGCGGCACTCGGCCTTCAGCGCCTCGATCGAGGCGCCGCCCTTTGCCACGTCGGCCTCGAAGATGGGGATGAAGGGCCGATTTGAGGCGAGCGCCGCGTACAGCTCGCGGCGGCAGTTGAAGCTCCTGAAGTATCCGGCGCTGAGGAAGACGAGAAAGGTCATTGCATCGGCTACTGCCTCCTCCAGCCTTCCCACGTCGTCGAGATTGTCGACGTCGAGCCAGATCCGGACGCCGGGGAGGAGAAGTTGGAGTCGCCGCACGACGGTGTGCGTCTGGTCTTGGCCGGTCCCCCAGCAGTGCGAGATGAAGCCGTGGAAGTGGCACTCGGGGGACAGCTCGAGGACAGGGGGGCGGCCGGAGGAGGTGAGGCGTACGGTGGGCATGCGGACGGCGCTGACGGTCTTGAA